TTTTCAGTTCCTTTCCTAACTAGCATGGAGTTTGCCTTTCTCACAGCCACCGCACACTGGGTCCATTATCATTATCTGTCCCCTCCACCTCACCCCATAGCTGTCAACCTTCCCTTTTTTTGCGGGAAATTCCCTTATTCCAGTGCCATTTCCCGCTACTTCCCACTGCTATCCCGGATTGTTAGATATCCCGTAGACTGTCCCTGGGACAGGTGAGGCTGCTGATCCCTTATTTTCGAGGCTGCTGATCCCTTATTTTCAAATCTGAAAGTTGACAGCTGTGCCTCACCCCCATGGGCGTATACATGAAATTAATATTTTTTGTTCCAACAATATTTTAATCCATGTTTCCACTGAGCTGGAGCAAACGGTCCTTTCAGTTTTATGGTAAGGTACCACACACTTATAGGGACGGGGGTGGCACTGTGGGTTAAACCACAGAGCCTTGGGCTTGCCGATCAGAAGGTTGGTGGTTCGAATCCCCACGACGGGGTGAGCTCACCTTTGGTGAGGTAGAAAAGAAGGTCTCCCGCTACCCCTTATTAGTCAAGGCTCCCGTACAAATTAGATATCATGCCTGAAAGTAGGATGGGACACTCAAAGGCCCTATTGAGTTGGAAAATCCAGAGGTGCCATAAACAGGTGATGATTTTAAGTATGGCTTGGTATTATTGGCCAACATAATGAGAGTTCTGGTTTTCAAACAATGATGCAACTGTGTTTCAGCCTTCCCTTCAGTCACAACCAGAAAATTAAAGAAAGGACCTCTGCTCATTTTTACCCAAGATAGGAGTGGGGTTTGCTAGAGGGTATTACAAACAGGTAGGTCAGTTGCCAAGGGCTCTTGTAGTGTAGCAATAAATGCCAACTAGACATGCAATGGGACGTGGGTGATGCTGTGGGTTAAATAACAGAGCCTAGGACTTGCCGATCAGAAGGTCGGCGGTTCGAATCCCCACGACGGGGTGAGCTCCCGTTGCTCGGTCCCTACTCCTGCCAACCTAGCAGTTTGAAAGCATGAAGTGCAAGTAGATAAATAGGTACTGCTCCAGTGGGAAGGTAAACGGTGTTTCCGTGCGCTGCTCTGATTCGCCAGTCATGCTGGCCACATGACCCGGAAGCTGTACGCCGGCTCCCTCGGCCAATAAAGTGAGATGAGCGGCGCAACCCGAGTCGGCCACGACTGGACCTAATGGTCAGGGGTCCCTTTACCTTTACTTTACCACACAGTTACAACTATCGCAGGCATATCCATATTGCAGAGCTGCTTCTGACACAGGGTGTGGGCAACACAGTGAAGCGACGAGCACGCGCGCCACCTACTTGCCTTTAAACCGGGCTCTCCTGCCAATTATGAACTACAATTCCCAGCATGCCGAAAGTTGCGCATGCGTCCCAGCTTCCTGTATAATGAGTCAGTTTCCACGGACGCGTCAGTTTACTGACAAGGCCTCCGGCCAGTAGAAAGTTGCCAACTCCCAATTCGTTACAGCCGCCCATTGGGCTCGCCCTTTCTACTAGACAGACAGGCCTCCAGTCAAATCCGTGTTGCGGAATGCCTGACTGGCCAATAAAAGGGTGAAGTATCCGGTGAGGGGCGCGGCTTTCGAACCAACGGAGAGGAGGAAGCGCCGACAAGTGACTGACAGCAGCACAGCCCAATGGGCCATCGACGCCGTCCAATCGGCGCCGGGAGCCGCCTATTTCCCCCTCCCTTCCCCTCCCCTCGCCGAGGTGGGTAGCAACAGTTGCCCCGGTGAGGGAACACGGAGGGCGCCATAGCCACCGTAGTCGTGGCGACCAGGAAACCCGGCAACAACAACAACAACCGCCCACCCTCTCTTCCTCAGCGCGATTCCCGCCAAAATCGAGAAAGGGCACGACAGCCGCGACTCCGTCCCCGCCCTCCCCCTGAGGGGACGCGGCCTCGCGGGGCCGGGACGGTCCAGGTGGGTCCGAGTCCGTTTCCCCTCCTCCCCCCCCCCCACCGCTGCAAAATGGCGGGGCCCGCGGCTCCCGCTTGACTCCCCGAGGCAGCCGAGGAGGGTGAAGCGAGTGAGCGGCGGCCTTTCTCCGGGCTTTGGCCCCCGCGGCGGCGGCCAACCCAAGCAGGGCTTGTCGGGAAAGGGCCCAGGCCCTGATAGGCGGGGCTTTGGCGCTCCGCAGTGATTGGTGGGCGGGTGGACCAATAGGCGCCGGCTGAGGCCCTGAGATTAGCCAATCGAGTTTACGGGGAGGCGGGCGTCGACTGCTCCCTCATAGACACGGAGAGAAAAACAGTGACTCACGGACGCGTCATGGCGTCGCAGTGACGTCAAGTGGAGTAGTGGTTTTTTTCCTGTTTGGATAAAAATGATTGTGACGTCGCACAGCAGTAATAAATGAATAATAATAAAAAAATCACTGCCTCCCTTCGTGGTTAAACATCAATGGATAGTAGTAACAGCAGAGATTTCAGAGAGTCTACAGTGATGTAAAGCAAAACATTGGTGCCTTTATGGTGTTTTGGGAGGAATGATGTCATAGTGACTCCATAAGTGAGATTTTTATGGGAAGAGTCCATAGGTTAGTAGATAAAGGGATTATGAAGGTTCAGGATTCAATCTCTAATTTAAAAAGAACCCCAAGCTTCTGAAATATTGGCTGCCTTAGAGAGCTGCAGTTAGGCGATGGTTAGTACTGACCTAAAGATGTACCAGTGGCCTTCCCAATTATGAGTCAGTTACTTATATTTGACACATATTAAAGGGCTGGAAGGCTGTGTCTCAGTACAGAGAAAGGACCTGCTTTCTATGCAGAAGTTCTTAGGTTCAGTCAATGGCATCTCCCATTAAGGGATCATAGATAGTCTGAGAAAGATTTTGAGAACTGGAGTGAGTGTGAGTAGGCACTAATGGTCTTATTTGTGGGTGGTTCACAATAAACAGACTTGTTGCTACTTCAAACGAGCACTTTTAATAAATTTCTACCTGGCTTGGTCAGTCCTGGTTGGGAGGGCAAGAGCAAGAGCGCACCATAACTTCCTGATTCAGATGCAATTGGGAACTAATTGAAGTGGTGTGTCAGAGGGGACAAGGAAGTGCATCAGCATAGAGGGCTTGTTCCCATCCAGGTTTATGGAATGTTTGGAACTGATATATTCTCAGCATCCAGGGGCTACTTAAAATCGTGAACCTTTTGGCTGCCTTGTGTTGTTTATATGAAAAAGCAGAGCAGAAATTTAAAAATAATTAATAAACATGTAGTTGTCCTCCTTGGGCATTTGACCTGTATCCCCTGAAGAGGAACTAATGGGCTGCTGAGGGTAGGAGAAGCTGAAGCTGCCGTATCTACTTATCCTGATCCTTTCTTTTTGGACTGGATTATAATATTGGACTTCAACATGACTTATGGTTCTTCCTGTTACAGGCCAGTTAGGTCTGTAGCTCCATTGGTTACATGCTAAAAGATACATTACATTTACTAGATGATATGACTTGGGTGTATATGAGAATTGTTCCATCCCTCCTGTGTCCCAAAATGTATTAATTATATGCCATCAAAACGCTCTTTTATCTTGAGTTCAACTAACAGCCGAAAACCATCAGCTGAAAAGCACATTGTTACTTGCTCATAGCAGCTGCTGCAGGGACAGAAATTACAGCGAGTCAGTTATATGACAGCCCAGGTTGTAGCTCCATCCAAAACATGTGGTTGCATCACAGAAAAGATGGAATTTGTGCCGTGTGGGCAGGGCTGTCACGTGGAAGCTGCAGCCAGGATAGCCATAGCACACAGCTTTAACTTTAGCTCCTAATTGATTGATTCCTTCCTTCCATTAAGTGGTGAAGGCAAATTTTGGAGGCCTAAGACAGTGTGCTGATATATTAAAGAAATCTGATAATTGTATTCTTCTGACTATATGGCATGATGTACTGTTGCCCAGTGATTTAAAATACTATTCAGTTATTGTATTGGGAAGGAGGTAAGTTTTAGTATACAGCAACTGTATTCCTTTAGACCAAGAGTAGACTCTGGAATACTTTCAGACAGCATCTGCCAACAAAAGTGAGACAATTCAGGAAAATATGGATAAAGACTCATTGTGCCTGGAAAAATGTGCTTATTTTGGCACTAGTTCAGGTAAGCTGGGAATGGATTTTAACTTTCGGTCTCCATTTTCCAGTGGTGTATGTTTGCCTTGGCTCCTGGCCTATAATATCTGTATACGTTTCAATGCAGGAATTTAAAATTCTCTACAATGAGAAGGCATATGATAATGGTGATAATGAAATGTTGTTGCAGTATCTCAAAACAAGACAAGCTACTAAGAATGCAAGGAGAACACAGTGACAGCCTTTTTCATCCCTAACCTTTCTCTTGTCCCTAGGGAATGTTACCAGCTTTTCAACTGTATCTTTAACAACAGCTGGAGATGTAGGCATTAGGTGGTGATAATGCTTATCTCTATGTTTTGGGAAACTTAACCTGCAGATATGTGTACAAGCCACTGTTGGCACAAGAGCAGTTCATACTTTTTGATCAGTTGGCAACCCTATCAATAGGGGTGCCCATTCTGCCTTGGAAGGTGACTAGTTCCTCACATTCAGCCCAATTTTAAGCACTTCTACTGGCACGATGACCCAGAAGCTGTACACCGGCTCCCTCAGCCATAAAGCGAGATGAGCGCAGGCAACCCCAGAGTCGGCCACGACTGGACCTAATGGTCAGGGGTCCCTTTACCTTTATTTTACAGGCTTCTGGGACAATGGTGGTCCCTTTACCTTTACCTAATCGATAGGTAAATCAATAAATTTTAATTCTATCAATGTTTAATTGGTTTTTAATGTGTTTTTTCTGTTCTTATCTGATCTTATTTTATTTTGTAAGCCATCTTGAGCCCCTCTTAGGGGTAAAGGTGGGGTATAAAGAAGAAGAAGAAGAAGAAGAAGAGAAGAAGAAGAAGAAGAAGAAGAAGAAGAAGAAGAAGAAGAGGAAGTTATTTTTTATCACTGAGAGGGAAAGCAGTGCCAAACAATTGGAGCTGAGACTCCTGGGTTCTGTTCCAGTTTGGGAAGCTGATTAAGTTCCACTGAGGTCTCTGTTTGCGCTTTCTTCTCAAATCATTTCAAGGCGCACCCACAGAGAGTATGCTTGGTCTCCCAGGTTTGTTGCTGTGATGTGCCAAACGGCCATAATTATCTCAGACTCCTTAGGTTGCAGTTTTCCCAGAATACAAGCTGGATAACAGGTGATGGGATGGGGAAACAGACCCATGCATCCAGACATAACAGACTCACGTAGGTCCAGCTATGGTCCTTGGACATCTTGTATCGAAGGGCACAGGTGAGCGGCTGGTGATGAAGGGATTCAGACCAGTGAGGGTTCTTCCAACTGACCATCGCGACAGAGGACTCAAACACCACAGGCTCCAGATCAGGAGGAGGCGGCTTCACTGAAAGAAGCAATGCAGAGAAAGGCCTCAGGCACAAGAAGCCTTGTTGCTTACCCTTCACTCCCACTTCCCACTCTCCACTCTAAGCATCAGGAATGGAGCCATAACAATGCTATAACAACAAACTCTAAACAAAAACCCAGGAAACAAATGCTGAAGAGTAAGGTCAAGGTTCAGCATGTCCACAGAGCAGGTGGCCTGCAATTTCCACATCACAACTTCCACTGTTTTTATTACTAAAGTTACTGGTTTCTTATGAACCGGAAGAAGCAGTCTAGTGTTTTTCTCAGAAGTCAGGGGAAAATTAAGTGGACTTCTGCAGTCAGCGCAGTGACTTTTCAAGGTGTTCTAAATTCTTTCAGAATCCAATATTGAGAGGCCAAAACCAACAAAAAAAAATGCAACATGAGATAGCGCATTTGATTCACTTTCACAATTTACACATTTTTGAAAGGCACACACAGGACTGAATGCAGTGAAGAGGTGAGTGTTGCAGAACTAGAGATAACTTGGATGGGCTGGAAGCTGCTTTAAGTAAATTTAACAGGACCCACTGAAAGCCCCAGCCACATAATTTCAAGTGTCAAAGTCTTTAGGGATGTAAGTGGCCATTTTTTATTGAACAATAGAAAAGCTGAGGTGTCTGGAATTTCACAGCTCGTGACATCACTGTGGAACCTGTAGGCGTGATCCTCTGCCGCAGCATGACACCCACTATTCAAGCTGTCCTGTACCACACAGATGCAAAATCAGCTCCAGATGTGAGATGGCCCTTGGCAGAGTGCCCTCTGGCAGCCCAGCCTCCCACATCACTGGTCCCTCATCCACAAGCTTTCATGGTGGTGGAAGTGGGTGGCATCCCGAATTTCCCACAATACCCCACAGTGATGCTACATCAGGTTAGGTCTTTAGGCATTGTGGAAATTCCAAAGTGGTGACTCACAGGCCCAGCTGTTTAATTCTGGGGATGAAAGCCAGCATTGCCACTAGCTCCCCTGTTGGGGTCTCAGCAACTGCCAAGAGTTACCTGATGCTGACACTGAACCTGAACAGATACACAAAAGTGAGCAAGCACACTGGTACTATTTTTAGCACTGAGCCTCTTGGGCTAGCCGATCAGAAGGTTGGCGGTTCAAATCCCCATGATGGGGTGAGCTCCCGTTGCTCTGTCCCAGCTCCTGCCAACCTAGAAGTTCGAAAGCACACCAGTGCAAGTAGATGAATAGGTATCTCTGCGGCGGGAAGGTAAATGGTGTTTCCGTGCACTCTGGTTTCTGGCGTGGTGTTCCGTTGCGCCAGAAGCGTTTTAGTCATGCTAACCCAGAAAGCGGTCTGTGGACAAACGCCGGCTCCCTCGGCCTGAAAGCGAGATGAGCGCCGCAACCCCAGAGTCGCCTTTGACTGGACTTAACTGTCCAGGGATCCTTTGCCTTTTTACCTTACTATTTTTAGTAATATTTTTTATCCTCATCTGCAAGTTTATCTAGACCCTTCCCCAAAGCACTCTGTGCCTATTTTCTCTCACCTATTTCATCCAAGCTGAAGTTTAACTTAGCGGAAGTTGCAATCCCAGCCATGCCGTAATTGGTTTCCACCCAAACACTGTAGCTGTCTCCCTGTGTCAGGTTGCGCCTTTCAATAAGCAACCAGTTCTGCTTGCCCGGAGCTCCACGCCTGGGGGGTTTGCCAGGATGACTAGAGAAAGAGGCAGAAAGAGGAAAGGCAATTCCGGCATGAATCAAAAGTGAGTATTTGCCACTCCTTAGTTATACAAATTCCTGCCAACCTAGCAGTTCGAAAGCACGTCAAAGTGCAAGTAGATAAATAGGTACCGCTCCGGCGGGAAGGTAAACGGCATTTCCGTTCGCCAGAAGCGGCTTAGTCATGCTGGCCGCATGACCCGGAAGCTGTACGCCGGCTCCCTCGGCCAATAAAACGAGATGAGCGCCACAACTCCAGAGTCGGTCACGACTGGACCTAATGGTTATACAAATATATTGCCCAGGACTTACCATTCCTTGCAAAACCTTGCCACAAAAATCCTGCAAATGCTCCATTTCCAATTCAGAACAAAGAGTTATGTAAAGTGGGTAATTTGCTTTGTTCTGAGTGTGGAATTTGTAAATTTGGTCTCCCAAGACTATGCATTTTCATACACATGCCTCTGTGTTGGCTACAGAAATAATAATAATAATAATACATATGTGATATAGAAATAAATAAATATACAGTACTGCCACAAATTTTAGAGAACGGTTGCTTTCTGGAATGATTAGGAATGCCTACTAAAAAAAACCCAATGCTAATTCATCTACAAAGAACAGTACATATTCAACTTATTTTTTAAAAAGGTAAGCAACAGGCAAATGTGGATGGTTTGTGAAAAATAATCAAGAATTTGGAGATGTAAGTAGGAAGTAGCGATTGCCCCATGCAAAGACACAGAGAAAGGTCATAATGAATACTGGGCAACAGAAGCTTAATTCCTGACTGGCCTGGAAGTGGTCTATATGCAGAGGTTGTTAAAGTCAACCTGAACACTTTCCCTCCGAGTAATAGAGTATCTGAGGAATTATGAGGTATAATTATGAGGTACTACTATTGTCTCCATACTGCAGATTGGATACTGCTCATTGGATTCTGGCTTGCCTAAGGGTACCTGGTAAGTTCAAGCAGATGTGAGATTTTTGGCAGGGGACTTTCCAACTCACAGTGACGCCAGCCAATAGAGTGATGTGTGAGGAGACAGGTTAGTTTAAAAACAAGGTCTGTGGGCTCATGATGAGTCTGGACTTATTTGCAAAGCTGTCTGAAGCATAATGGCAGACAACTCCTGTGCAGGCAGGTAACTTCCAGAGTCAGAAACTCCCTGGAAGGTTCTGTCAATCAAATGCAGTGACTTCTTTTGCTGACAAGACCTTGGTAGAAACCCTTTTGCCTCCCTGAAAAATGCTGAAATGGCATTTGAGACCAACGCGGCTAACAATAGAGTGAGGAAGTTGCAGCGCATTGTGAGGACTGCCACCCAAGCGCACCGATGTGCACACACACACACACACACACTTCCTAAGGCCGACAAAGCAAATTCTTCCTGACATTTTGCAAGTTTTGCCTCTTTCATGCCAAAATCCACAGGCTCTCTGCGGCTGGATCATCACAGGGAAACACACGTAATGCCTTGCTTACTATTTCAGGCTCTTATAGTAGAGGACATGGGTAGTATTAGCATCTGGAGGCTCCCTGGTAGACCAACTGCAGTTCACAATATTGCTGGGCACTGACTGGTAACATTTCAGGTCTGTGGGGACATCAGGGTCACCTGCAAATAGAGACATATTCCAAAATCAGCACTCAAGCCACAGAAAACACAGCCATTATCTTGCACTATTAAAATTCAAGGGAAGTGATCCTAGTTGTCCAGACAGAATTACCACCCTTCTCTCACTATTTGTTTGTTTGTTACATTTCTATCCTGTCCTTCCCCCAAAGGAGCTGAGCGCAGCAAACAACAAGTGACAGAGCAATAAAAACATCAGTAAAACATCTCCAATATACAGTGGAACCTCAGTTTTCGAGCATCTCAGAAGCTGAACGTTTCGGAAGCTGAGCGCCGAAAGCCCGGAAGTAATTGCTTCCGTCTTCGAACGCACCTTGGAAGTCAAACAGCTTCCGCTGTGTGTTTTTCCATTTTCTCAATGGATTTTGCCGATCGCCCATTGCACCTCGGTTTTCGAACATTTCGGAAGTCGAAAACCGAGGTTACACTGTATAAGCTAATCACCAAATGGCACCTTAAACCTAGATGGCAGTCACCACAATGGAATTTCTAGGTGCCACCCCCACCCCCCGTTGGTGGTATTATTATTGTTGTTGTTGTTGTTATTGTTATTATACTGATTTATATTTTAGAAAACAAATCTCAAAGGGGTTTACAACATCCCCACCAAAGAATCCAGAATAAAACAAGGGGGCTTTTCTGCAGTGGCTCCCCGTTTGTGGGATGCTCTCCCCAGGGAGGTTTGCCTGGCACCTTCATTGCTTATATTTAGGGGCCAGGCAAAAACATCCCTCTTCTCCCAGACCTGTGGCTAATTAAACAATCTATGGCATTTTGAACGGGGGGGGGAGGTATTGTTTTTGTATGTTACTATGTTATGGGAACCAGGTAGAGGGCCTTCGCAGTGGTGGAACCCTCCCTGTAGAACGCCCTCTCATCAGATGTTAAGGAAATGAACTATTACAGTGGACGCTTGGGTTGCGAATGTGATCTGTGCGGGAGGCATGTTCGCAACCCACAGCATTCACAACCCGCAGCACAGTGCCGCGTCTGCACACGCGTGAGTTGCGATTTGGCGCTTCTGCGTATGCACAAAGCGCAATTTAGCGCTTCTGCGCATGCGCAACCGCCGAAACCCCGAAGTAACCCGTTCCAGTACTTCCGGGTTTCGGCGCATCCGTAACCTGGAAAAACGCAACCTGAAGCGTCTGTAATCCGAGGTATGACTGTATATGACTTTTGGAAAACATCTGAAGGCAGCCCTGTATTGGCAGGTTTTTATACGTACTGTAAACTGTCTGTATGGGTGGGGGAATGAATGATGATGATGATGATGTTTATATATTATAAACTACCCTGGGCTCCTTGGATGAAGGGCAGGATAACAATTTAATAAATCATACTCATCATTCCTATACAGATGCACCTTAAAAGGCTCAACAGTAAGTGCATTTCTGACCCACAGCTCCCCACCACACACACCTTCTCAGCATCTTCACTTCCTTCCTGTCAATACCACACAGGCCTCTGCTGTCTCTAGGCCTTAGCCCTGCTTTCTCCTTAGCCTGCACCTTCATGCCTCCACCATTTACTGTTTTCTCAAGTCTTTGCTTCTCAAACACTCCCTGCTCTGTCCGTCTTGCCTCCTGGCCTCTCTCCCCAAGGGCTCACAGCCTTTCCTGTCCTTGCTCCCCTGCCCTCTCACACCTCTCTCATTCTGAAACATTATCTCCCTTGCACTTATTCCTTCACGCATTTATCTGTCTCCTACACCACCACTTCCTTCAGATACCTGTAACCCACTGCTTCACCTGTCTCCTTCCATTCCAAGAGAGCTTAGTTCCCAGACAAGCTTGGTGTTGGTGATATCACACCAGCCTAGCTAATTAGCAGCACAAACTGTGGTGCCCAGGCTGGTTTGCGTCCCCAAAATTTTAGACTCGCGGCATTGAAGACCTATGCCACCAGCGACTCGCACGTAATAATAATAATAATAATAAATTTTATTTATACCCTGCCCTCCCCAGCCAGGGCGGCTAAAAAGCAATAATAAACACAAATGGAATGAATACAACTTAAAAACAAGATTAAAATACAACATTGAAACATTGAAACATTAAAATGCAGCCTCATCACAGGAGGAGAAAGGAAAAAAGAAAGAGGGGGACGGAATCAAATTGCCTCCAAGCCAAAGGCCAGGCAGAACAACTCTGTCTTACAGGCCCTGCGGGGAAAGAAATCAGATCCTGCAGGGCCCTGGTCTCATGAGGCAGAGCGTTCCACCAGGCCGGAGCCAGTGTTGAAAAGGCCCTGGCTCTGGTTGAGGCTAATCTGACTTCCTTAGGGCCCGGGACCACTAGGGTGTTGCCATTTATGGACCTTAAGGTCCTCCATGGGGCATACCGGGAGCTGGAATACTCACACAAATGCTACAGCTAAGTGGCACAGTGCCACAAATAATCAGTTGCCACACAGCTGTGTGTGAGAGACAATAGCAGGAGTCGTAATCGGCTCAGCTATGAAATTTTGGAGACAGTCCTGTATGAAGGAAATGATGAATGCTGATCCCTTACCTTTTTGCAGCCCAAAGACCTTTAACGACAGAAGCAACAGCCATACCGCATTCCCCCTGTTTCCCATAGTGCCGGCGATGTCCTGAATTAAGAGACAGCAATGGTGGATCATGAGATAAGGACAAAGTCAAGCAGCACTGAATTAAATGCCTCCCCCCCCCCATTTACTATATTTATTTATGTGGACTTTATATGTGTGTCCATGTCAGAATGGTACATTGGAGCCTTTGAGGAACTAAAGCACAAAACTTTTTTACGAGCTCAAAGACCAGCAGGGGATCGATTCAGCATAAACACCAGCGTGTGAGGAGATGCTGCGAACTTATAGAGGGGAATCATAGACATAAAATCCACACAGAAACACATCATTGCTTGTTTTAACTCGCTTGTGGGAACAACTCAGAGGCTGTGAAAGAAGGAAGGTTAACAACAGAAAGAATTAGAGGAACCATTGGAAGTGTCTATGAAAAGCAGTAGAAGTATGAGATGATCAGAACCCTCCGAACTTGAAGCATGGGAAGTCCTACTAAAAATTTAAAATTTGGCAGAATATTCGGATTATTTGATATGTATATGTATAATTTGGAATATTTAATGTGATTGGATTGGAATGTTAAAGTGGAAAATTTAATAAAAATGAATAAAAAAACAAAGACGAGGGAAGCAGCTGTGTGGGACTCACCACTGGCAATGCCACAGGTACCATCCAGTGGGAGCCATTGCTGACTGCATAACTCATGTTCTGCCTCCAATGTCAGAGGCAATGTGTGCACCTGAATGCCGGCTGCAGGTGAGCACAAGTTGTTGGGAGAGTGCTCAGGTCATTCTTTTGAGCTTCCCAGAGGCATCTGGTTGGCCAAAATGAGAACAGGACACTGGACTAGATGGGCCATTGGTCTCAGCCAGCAGAGCTCTTCTTATGTCATGGGTAGGCAAACTAAGGCCAGGGCCCGGATCCGGCCCAATCGCCTTCTCAATCCAGCCCTCAGACGGTCCAGGAATCAGCGTGTTTTTACATGAGTAGAATGTGTCCTTTTATTTAAACTGCATCTCTGGGTTATTTGTGGGACACAGGAATTCGTTCATTTATTTTTTTCAAAATATAGTCTGGCCCCCAACAAGGTCTGAGGGACAGTGGACTGGCCCATGGCTTAAAAAGTTTGCTGACCCCTGCCTTATGTTCTTAACTACATTCCACATAAAATTTGACACAGCAGTGGACAGGTGGAGAAATCTTGTTCTTGCAGTAAAGGTAAAAAGGTAAAGGACCCCTGGACAGTTAAGTCCAGTCAAAGGCAACTATGAGGTTGTGACGGTCCTCTCACTTTCAAGCCAAGGGAGACGGCGTTTGTCCGCAGACAGCTTTCCAGGTCATGTGGCCAGCATGACTAAACCCCTTCTGGTGCAACGAAACACCGTGACAGAAACCAGAGCGCATGGAAACGCCGTTTACCTTCCTGCTGCAGTGGTACCTATTTATCTACTTGCGCTGGCGTGCTTTCAAACTGCTAGGTTGGCAGGAGCTGGGACAGAACAACGGGAGCTCACCCCACCGTGCGGATACGAACCGCGGACCTTCTGATCAGCAAGCCTAAGAGGTTCAGTGGTTTAGACCACATCCCTTTCTCGCAGTGGCAATGGTTGAAATATTACACATAAGAATGGTAAGGGCTAACTATGTTTTGTTGCCTTAACCACAGTGGCGTAGCGTGGGTTGTCAGCACCCGGGGCAAGGCAAGTAATTTGCGCCCCCTAACCCGTGGATTTGCGCCCCCTAACCCATGGTTTTGCGCCCCCTAACCCATGGATTTGCGCCCCCTAACCCTAACCCCCAGATGTTGCGCCCGGTGCGGCCGGCCCCCCCTGCGCCCCCCACGCTACGCCACTGCTTAACCAGGAGTCCACAAATTTTGGCTGACCCTTGGCCACCAAGGCTCACCTTTCTTACTTCTTGATCCACAAAGGGGAGGTGGGTCCCTTATGTACCTCTGGCCACTACTGGACAAAGTGATCATATAAGGCTTAACAAATGCACGGTCAGAGTTTCATTTTGTTTGCAGCTTCTACAGCCCATGCCACTAATTGTGTGTCCCTAACAGAAGAAGCAGCCATTTTGAAAGATGCACTCGTTGGACATGTCTTCATGCAACAATAAGGTCTACCTTGACAAACCACTCTGTGTTTCTACTTTGCTCCTCCCCCGGTGCGAGAAGGTGGGCAAACCAGCCTCGTGCAATGTCTGCACCTGGGATCTGGGTTTATTTCTTGCTAGCAAGTCAGCATTCAAAAGCAACATATAACCTTGGTTTTTAAAACCTGGCTAGCAATCCTGGCTTGTTAAGCAGAAACAAACTATGATTCCAGGTTTCCCCACCTGTGAGGCAGAAGCAATCGGGCTCCATGCACCTATGTGGGCACAGTATTTATTCTTCTTCCCTGACAATAGGGATCCTAACTAAGGCAACCCCCGCCCCTAAAATACAAGTAGTTCGCTCGCCCAGGAGCCACTGCAGAAGTAAGTTCCTGGGGGAAGTGAAGGTGATTGTAGCAATGGGAACTTACTGCCAGTCCCGTTTAGGACATAGAGATCAACCTAACCCACCCAGTGCAGTCCCCTCCACTTTCTTAAAGGGACAGACCCATAAAACTGGTTGCCAGCCTACAGTGTGCAGTAGTTCTGCGTTCTTGAAAAGAACTGTCACTGTAGTTCTGCGTTCTTGAAAAGAACTGTCACTTTTCCCAGCTGAGCTGGATCCCATGGTTTGAAAGCAGGCTTCTAGGGCTGTCTGAGCGCTATACTGAGACTTTTTTAAAAAAACCACCCAAAGCGCATCCTTGCCCTGAAATAAGTTTGGGCACCGTAGTTTGCTCCTCGCAAGGTTGCGATTCCCAGCAACCCTTAAACTATAGTGCCCAGAATTCTTTGGGAGGGCCGTGACCAAAAGGAGGAGGAATACCAGGAGGAATGGAAGAAATGTATTTAGCTATTTAGCTAAATGTGTTAAGATAACTTAAACAGAATTACTTGCAAGTATGAGATTGGCCTAGGATTTAAATACAGTGGTTGTTGTTGTTGTTGTTTAGTCATTTAGTCGTGTCTGACTGTTCGTGACCCCATGGACCAGAGCACGCCAGGCACCTCTGTCCTCCACTACCTCCCGCAGTTTGGTAAATACAGTGGTACCTCGGGTTAAGTACTTAGTTCGGTCTGGAGCTCTGTTCTTAACCTGAAACTGTTCTTAACCTGAGGTACCACTTTAGCTAATGGGGCCTCCTGCTGCTGCCGCGCCGCCGGAACACGATTTCTGTTCTCATCCTGAAGCAAAGTTCTTAACCTGAGGTACTATTTCTGGGTTAGCAGAGTCTGTAACCTGAGGAATATGTAACCTGAGGTGCCACTGTATGTGATGTTATAGAACAATATGTTTAAAGTTAAAATGAAAAGAAAGAAAGAGGTTAATTGACTAAGTAATTTTTAGGTGAAATTAGTTTTGGAAAACTGCTACAATGATATATATGGAAATTCAGCCGGGGGACTCGAGGAAGTCACCCAACAATGTTAACAAAAATGGAATGATTACAGATAGGATTTATGTTTGCTTGTTTTTCTTTTTGACGTTTTCTTTTATATGTTCGTCATAGATTTTGAAAATCAATAAAAAAATTGGGGGGGGTGGTTTCTTCGGGAGGGGACGAGATGCGCTTTAAAGGCATAGCGCGTACACAACGTCAAACTGGAGAAAGGGAGAGAAGAGGATGAAAGGAGAGCCGGGGACCACGTCGTGGTGGAGCCCTTCCCGGCTCCGGCCCCAGACAACGAGCGAGCAGCCTGCCCAGCTCAAGCCTCGTCGATGATGCAGCGGCTCTTATGCCCTGCCTCCGGATCTTATGCGCATCTCCGGATCCTCTTTCCCCTCCGCCCAGGGCGCGAGCCAAAGTCCCACCTGCCAAGAGAGAAGACCGAGGAGGACCCACCGTGCCAGCAGGATCCCCCCAGAGATCCCAGAGGGGAGAAAGTCATCGGCTCGCCTCATTACTTACACCGCATCCTCTGCGCGCCGGGAGGAAACTCCAGCGCCCGCTCAGCCAGACGGCGGCTCCCCAAGCCGCGCGCTCCCCAAGGCGCCCCTCGAGGACCCCGGCGGGACTCAGGCGCGACGAGCCCCCGAGCCGGGTTCTTCTCTTCGCGCAGGAAGGAAATGAGCTCGGGGCTTTTTTTCCTTTTCGAGGGCACTAAGTGTCGGGGCGCTCGCTCCTCCCGCTGCCCGATCACGCTCCGCCCCGCGACGCACCAAGCCTGTTCCCCGACGGGCTGCTCCTTCTTGGAGCGCAGTCGGGGGGCGATGGGGGCTCGTCTTCCCTGGGTGGAAGGGGCGACAAGCCTCCCTTCCTTGGCCTTCCTGGCTTTTTGAGAGCGGAGGGGGAGCGGGTGGAAGAAAAGCAAGAGCCACGCCGGAATCCGTAAAGAGGAAATCGTGTCTCATCCAAATCGTGACTCACACGACAAACTCACTCGTTTCCCCTGCTTGGGGAGTGGGTGGGGTGGGTGGGCAGGGCGCCCATTCCTCCCAGCACGTGTGCGGGGCTATGGGGGGAATCACAGAATTGTAGAGTTGGAAGGGACACCGAGGGTCATCTAGTCCAACCCCCTGCAATGTGGGAAAACCTTAGGGAGCCTTAGCCAAGCGCAAAGGCGCAGAGGCGTAGCGTGGGCGGAGGGCGGCGACCGTAGCTCCGGGCGCAGCCGGACTGAGAAGGACGCAGCAGCTCAAGCGCCCTGCGAGCTCAGCGCTATTTTTGCGAGCCTTGCAAAGTGTCGCAGTTCGCCATGAGGGCGCCCCTCAAAGCCTGGCGGGCAGTGGGTGGGGGTTGCTCTGGTGGCGCCCCCCCCACGACTCTTCTCATTGGCGAATGATCTGGGTCTCCGGATGGAGGAACACTCGGGTTAAGTACTTAATTCGTTCCGGAGGTCCGTACTTAACCTGATACTGTTCTTAACCTCAAGCACCACTTTAGCTTATGGGGCCTCCTGCTGCCGCCGCGTTGCCGGAGCACGATTTCTGTTCCCATCCTGAAGCAAAGTTCTTAACCCGAGGTACTATTTCTGGGTTAGCGGAGTCTGTAACCTTAAGCGTATGTAACCTAAAGCATATGTAACCAGAGGTACCACTGTATGGGAAGCAATGGGGGCTAGTAAAGGTAAAGGGACCCCTGACCATTAGGTCGAGTTGCAGACGACTCTGGGGTTGCGGCGCTCATCTCGCTTTATTGGCCGAGGGAGCCGGCATACAACTTCCAGGTCATGTGGTCAGCATAACTAAGCCGCTTCTGGCGAACCAGAGCAGCACACATAAACTCCGCTTACCTTCCCTCCGGAGCAGTACCTATTTATCTACTTGCACTTTGACGTGCTTTCAAACTGCTAGGTTGGCAGGAGCAGGGACCGAGCAGCTGGAACTCACCCCGCCGCAGGGATTCGAACCAGGCTCTGTGGTTTAACCCACAGCGCCATCCAAACCCCCACTAAATACAATTTCTGTAAGGATACAGGAAGCCACACTGAAAACAGTGTAAAAATGGCATTGGACTCCAATCCGCCCAGGGGTGAAACTAGGCTTTATTTCACCCGGGTCAAAAGACCCAGTTTGGCACACACCCCATTCGCATTTGCATACACACAGAGAGAGTTTGGGAGCCTCTGTGATGCCTGTCTGTTCACCTGGCGCAAAACCCTCAGCCAGCCCCCACCCTAGGGCTGGATTTAGGTTTGATGAGGCCCTAAGGTACTGAACGCGGGTCGCTGGTGGCGCTGTGGGTAAAACCTCAGTGCCTAGGACTTGCTGATCGTATGGTCGGCGGTTCGAATCCCTGCGGCAGGGTGAGCTCCCGTTGTTTGGTCCCAGCTCCTGCCCACCTAGCAGTTCGAAAGCACCCTTAAAGTGCAAGTAGATAAATAGGTACCGCTTTATAGCGGGAAGGTAAACGGCATTTCCGTGTGCTGCGCTGGTGCCGGTTCGCCAGATGCAGCTTCGTCACGCTGGCCACGTGACCCAGAAGTGTCTTCGGACAGCACTGGCTCCCGGCCTCTTAAGCAAGATGAGCGCGCAACCCTAGAGTCGGACACGACTGGCCCGTACGGGCAGGGGGGTACCAAGCTTCAGGCACCTCGTAGGGTGGACAGTGGAGCATCTTGGTCATTTTAGATTCTGGATTTAATGGGGGGGGGGACTCTTTGGGTTGTGATATATGTCACAATGGTGGTAAGCTAGCTTTCCTGTGTTTGAGGGCCCTCTTACCCATTCTGCTTAGTGGAGGCCATTGGCTTCTCTGAAATTTCACTTTGATGGCACCATCAACCAATTGGTTTAATACATACTTTAGGCAAACTTGCTGTGGCATTTCTAATTTTAGGCCTGCTTATGTCATCAACACTGATATTATCATCATCATCATCATTATTAAATCCACCTTGAAGGGCCTTCTTGTTACCCTCCATGTCAACAAAGTTCATCTCTCTCTTTTGTTTCATTTCAGCTTTTTATTTCAGCTTTCACGTAATGTGCAATCTTAAAAGAGAACAAACACGGTCTTTCTCCAGGAAGAAGGAACTGATGAACAGAGAAGCAGCAGCAGGGCAAAGACTGTTGCTTGCAATGCCATCCTACTCAAAGCAAAACTCAGCTGCACATTCGTAAGATAAAACGTGCGACGGACACAGGCATGGACACACACACACACACACACACACACACACACATCCCGTTAAGAGACCAGGGCATGACACATTCCTCGTGAGCGTTTCTCTGCACCACTTGGGAGGATTCCTTGTTCTACTGTGACTACAGGTGCATTTGGTTTCCTATTGCAGCAATGGCTGTAGGAAAACAAACTTCAGGTTTATCAACAGCAGCTGTAGGAGGGGAGCAGCATAAGGGAAGTAATGGTAGAGTGGGAATTTGTCAATTAATTGGGACTTGCCAGAATCATTAAATCCCACTCAAATTGTGTAGGCAGCCACTTGGGAGAGCTGTTTGGCAGTATGCCAGTGTGGTGTAGGTAAAGGTAAAGGTAAAGGACCCCCGGATGGTTAAGTCCAGTCAAAGGCAACTATGGGGTTGCAGTGCTCATCTTGGCTTTCAGGCCGAGGGAGCTGGCGTTAGTCCACAGGCAGCTTTCCGGGTCCTGTGGCCAGGATGACTAAACAGCTTCTGGCGCAACGGAACATGGTGATGGAAACCAGAGTGCACAGAAATGCCATTTACCTTCCTGCCACAGCGGTACCTATTTATCTACTTGCACTGGTGTGCTTTCGAACTGCTTGGTTGGCAGAAGCTGGGACAGAGGAACGGGAGCTCACCCTGTCGCAGGGATTTGAACCGCCGACCTTCTGATCGGCAAGCCCAAGAGGTTCAGTGATTTAGACCTTGTCTCATAGGATGCTGGGAATTATAATTCTTGGGCACATTTTCCTAGCTTGGTGAAAGGGGTGGAGCTTTAATGGAGATATTTATGGTCAGCTGTGTGCACATTTTTGTGTCTGATGGTCTGAGCTTCAAGTTTACAAATATTTGAATATTTGAATTCCCTTTTTGCCACACGCACACTCAACCTCGCACGCCGCCCTTTAGCACAGGGAGCTGATTTCACTCTTGCTACAGCCCCACTTGCAGCAAGCGTTGCTCAATCCTGCCAAAACATCTCGGGCTCCACGGTCAAAGCCCCAGGTTTCTTCCGAGGGACTGTGGCTCTGCTGGCCATGCCAGCTCCCATAATAGTCTGACGGATCTTTCGGCGGGGCGTGGATCGGGACCCATTCATCAGATGAGGAAGTTGCAGCAAAGGCTTCTGCAGAATCTCCTCCGGGGAGGGCACCAACATTTCCTGCAATGAGAAGCCAATATGGAAAATTGGGGGGAGCAGGCACAATGCATGTAGCTCAGCAAACAGAAAGAGAGATCAGGGTTCAAAATCATGCCGTCCCCTACCAGGGGTATTTTCTGAAAGTCAGCCTAAATTTGCATCTGTAAGCAAATATTATGCAAATTTGTGTCATGGCATGGACCTGCACCTTGAGTCATAAGAACATAAGAGGTAAAAAGGTAATGGATCCCTGGACGGTTAAGTCCAGTCAAAGGCATCTATGGGGTTGTGGCGCTCATCTCGCTTTCAGGCTGAGGGAGCTGGCGTTTGTCCACAGACAGCTTTCTGGGTCATGTGGCCAGCAGGACTAAACTGTTTGTGGCACAATGTGACACCGGGACGGAAGCCAGAGCGCACAGAAACACCGTTTATCTTCCCACCAGAACAGTACCCAGTGCTTTTTTTTCTGGGGGTACGCAGAGGTACGCATACCCCATGACATTTGGTGAATCTTTGTACTTTTGTCCATTTACAGTGGTACCTCGGGTTAAGTACTTAATTCGTTCCAGAGGTCCATTCTTAACCTGAAACTGCTTAACCTGAAGCATGACTTTAGCTAATGGGGCCTCCCGCTGCCACCGCTGCGCGATTTCTGTTCTTATCCTGAAGCAAAGTTCTTAACCCGAGGTATTATTTCTGGGTTAGCGGAGTCTGTAACCAGAAGCGTATGTAACCCGAGGCATCACTGTATTTATTTCCCCCGATTTGAACTATAAAATGGTGATTTTCTTGAGTCAAAATGAGAATACCCCTAAACATTTTTTTAGGGGGGGAAAGCACTGGCAGTACCTATTTATCTACTTGCGCTGGCATGCTTTCGAACTGCTAGGTTGCTACACTTGATCTTAGCCAAAAGGCCGAGAAGCGATCGAACTGCTAGGTTGGCAGGAGCTGGGACAGAGCAACGGGAGCTCACCCCGTCACGGGGATTCGAACCACCGACCTTCCAAACAGCAAGTCCAAGAGGCTCAATGGTTTAGACCACAGCGCCACCCATGTCGCACCAAGAACATAAGAAGAGCCTGCTGGATCAGGATAGCCTAGTCCACCATCCTGTTCTCACAATTTAATTTGAATTCAGCCTGATCTTTTATTTCCCTTCTCTTCCCTCCCCCTCCCCATTTATGAAGATCACCTGCTCTGAGACCCCACAGCTAATTCTCCCCTGGCCTCCTCGCTGGCCCAAGTAGAATCAATTCAGCCAGCTAGCCCTGGGGATTATCTAATTGATTTTTTATTTTTGAATTTTATTGTTATTCATGTTTTTATACTGTATTTTATGCTGCTTTTATAATTAAGTG